TGAGGTTCAAGGATCTCAGGACTTTGATGAATAGGATCTTAAGGGCATTGTTATGTCTCTGTAAGTACTTGGTTTGCGCCAAAGCGCTGCAGCCAGATAGAATGTGCTGCATGTTCTCTGTGAACTTTCCGTATGAACGGCAATTTTCATCACTGACTTGCGAGCTCATCATTGGTTGTAGTAGGCAGAAGCTGTCGGTAAAGCCCTTGTATTCCTGCTACGGTGTGTGTAGGGGCATTCTTCCATGAAGAAAGCCACGCAAAGCATTTTTCAAGATCAACTTCTTCGTCGTCCCATCTGTTCCTGGCGAATATTCTCTAGCCATCTCTCCTCAGACAATTGATTTTATCTCCTGCTGCCGTGACTTGTTGATCACTGGCTTCACCTGTTTGGACTGTACTTCTTTGTTTCGATCGATGACAGTTGGGTTAGGATAATTTAACCGTAGCTGGAGACCCAGCTCAGCTGCATACTTCGTTATTATTATTATTATTATTATTATTATTATTATTACTTTTATATTATTTTTTGTCAGTGCAAAAGAACTGTGTCGAGCTGTACAAATCTGGTAAAATAACCAGCGGTGTTTCTACAATCAATCCAGATGGTATTGGACCTGACTTTGAAGTGTTTTGTGATCAAAAAACTGCCGGAGGGGGATGGACAATGATCCAAAAGAGACTTGATGGTTCTGTTGATTTTAACCGCAGCTGGTTTGACTACAAGAATGGCTTTGGTGACCTTAATGGCGAGTTATGGCTCGGACTGGATAAAATACACCGCTTGACAAAATCTCCGAGTAAGCTTCGAGTCGATCTGGAAGATTTTGACGGCAATACTGCATACGCCGAGTACGACTTGTTTCAAGTGGCAAACCAGAGCAAGAAGTACCAGTTGAGCATAGAGACATATTCAGGTAAACCGTTATCCTGTGCTATCCCTATTAGTTTAGGTTTTGTCCTCGAAACCCTTGAATTGTCTTCTGTATAAACATCTGGTAAAGCTATGCGATATTTTCGTTCTTTAGAAGATTAATGCTCTTTGTCTTTTACAAAACTGAAAACATCAGTTATACAGTGTGTCCCAACTCAACCCACTAAAACACAAAAAGCTAAGTCTTCCATGATGCATGCGTGGCGTGCTTATGTTTATATCTGCAATACAGAATTAAATGCAGTGTGGCACTCTTCAAGGACATTATCTGTGACAACTCGGAATTAGTATTTACTTTTCAAAACTGTGACTTTGTTATCTCGTTAGAGGGTAACGAGAATTTATGTCTTTGCTTCTTAGGTAGGATTGCATGACCGTGAGACCTCTTTGAGAACCTCTCGCAAGAGCAAATTTCAATTTTAATTATTTTTAGGAACAGCTGGAGACTCCCTTTTAAGACATCATGGCTATCTCTTTACAACCAAGGATCAAGACAATGACAGTTACGAAGGTAACTGTGCCAAGAGACATAAAGGAGGCTGGTGGTACTCATCCTGTCATAGCTCAAACCTCAATGGTTTTTATTATCACGGGAAGCACATATCGTTTGCTGATGGAGTCAACTGGTTTCACTGGAAAGGATACTACTACTCTGTGAAGAGAGCTGAGATGAAAATCAGACCAGTGGAGTTTCAGTAGAACTTGTAGGCTACCTTACTAAGACAAATAAGAATTCATAAGTTAATTTAAAGCTGACTTGGCTTCATTAATTAGACTTAATAGTTCTCTGATGTTTCTCCTCTCCCATCCAATTAACCCCTACCCACCCTGGTGATACACACAACTGACATNTTGATTTTTGTACAGATTTGCTCTTAAAAAGTTTGAGAAAAGTTTCATTGTTGAAGCTGCTTTCGACCATTGAATTCTATTTGATTAATTAATTAGGGAGCTCATGCAGATTGGATTGGAGGGGAGAATGAAGCATTGGAGGGCTTTTCTTGGAGAGGGGGGTCGGAGCATGATACCACTGGCATCCTTCTGTGGAGCAAGCCATATATTAAAGTCCTCCCCAATGGTGAAGAGGTTTGTTATAGACACTTATTTTGATTTTTGTCATGGTGTAAGTCCGTAACTCTCCCCCAAGTCTCTTGCAGACTTTTATGAGACACTCACAGCATTTCTTGTGACTCATCCCGGAGGTTCAGTTCTGATACTGGCTATTGGTAAGGAATCTCATTGGGTTTCTCCAGATTCATTTTTGTTTTTTTCGGGTTTAGTTCATTTTTTTGTCAGGGCCTCATTTCTGCATTTCAACGTTGATATCCAATTGAAATTCAGAGCTGCATTGTCAAATGTTCACACATGCGTATTTACTCTGAACATATTTAATAGAGAATTTAAAAGAAAAAAGAAAAAAATGGAGGAACAAGAAAAGAAAAAAAGACAAAGTAAAAGTAAAAGTTGACGCAGCCAGGGGTAGAACCATGTACCGTATTTACCCTTGTAATAATGTGCACTTTTTTTCTACAAAAATAACCATCAAAATTGTGGTGTGTACCCCGGTGAAAATCTTTCAAAGATCTTCAAGGATCCTTAAAGATCTGCGTGAGGATCTTCATGAGGATCTTAATTAAGATCCTCAGACATCTTGGTAAAGATCCTCAAGGATCCTTCATTTTCTTGCCAAGATCCTTGAGGATCCTCAAGGAACTTCAAGGATCCTTATAGGATCTTCAAGGATCTTTAAGGATCCTCAAGGATCTTGGCAAGAAAAGGAAGGATCTTTGAGGATCTTTTAAGATCTTGCAAAGATCCTTCCAAGATCTTGAAAAGATCCTCTAGGATCCTCTCAAGATCTTACAAAGATCCTCTAGGATCCTRTCAAGATCTTGCAAAGATCCTCAGGGATCCTCCCAATAACTTGCAAAGATCTTCAAAGATCCTCCCAAAATCTTGTTCAAGGTCCTCAAGGATCTTTAATTGGATCCCCAAGATCCTTGAAGATCTTCAACGATTCTTATATGAGGATTGCTAAAGATATTACCTAGACCTTGTGAAGATCCTCAAGG